GGGCTTCCTGCTGCTGCCGCAGCCCGATTTCTGTTCTTATCCTGAAGCAAAGTTCTTAACCTGAAGCACTATTTCTGGGTTAGCGGCGTCTGTAACCTGAAGCAGTCTGTAACCTGAAGCGTATGTAACCTGAGGTACCACTGTACTAGTTCATGCCTATCAAAATAATAAACAAAAATTTTTGCCAACCCCCTCCCCATAGCGACTAGACTTTCTGTATTGTCACCCACAACCCAGATAGCAGGAGCCATTTGGCTCTTAGCTTTTCTATCTCACTTTCAAACACTGCATACAATGCATTTTTTGTTGTTGTTGTTGTTGTTCAACGGCCACAGCTTCACAGATCAATTCTGGGTCGAATTCTGGGTATCATCTCTGGGGCAATACCGGTCAATAGAAGCTAAAGACATATTTAGCTGTGAGTCGTCCACCATCAAATTATTAACTGGCACATGTGAATAAGCGGCTGTTCAGATATTTCTCTTTCAGCACCTACAGGTTTGCACGTATGAACATGCAACCAGCCTCAAGAGGCTTTTAAAATTCCCTCAACAAGCTTTAAGCTGTCTGAGGAGTTGAAGCCAGATCTGATGACAGGGAAACTGAATGATGAACTACATATGTTGAATCCTCTCACTGAATCATCAGGGTGAGTGCAGCCTTAACTTTGAAAGTTGTAAAAACCTTCTGGTAGAAACAGTGATACCAGGGGGAAGCGTGTGAGAGAGAAAATTTTCAATACATTTTCAATATTTTGATTTTTCAAGTAGGGTCTGGAGTGATGGGGGAAAACACCAGACACCTTTTATATCCAGGGATTATTCGCCATTTCCCCCCTAAGTACACGTCTTCCGTTTCCTGCTTCTGTTTTGTGCTATTTCTTAAATAATTGTTGCTATTCGGTTTTATGCTGGTAGTCTGGGAAGTAAATGGCAGGCCGAACTTCATAGCAGGGTTTTAATCCCCTAAATAAAAAATAAGTTACTAAGGCCAGTTACTAAGAATTGGGGGGGGCATTTTTCTAAATGGGATTGGAAGGGGAGTAGCAAGAAAGAAAGACTTTGTTTTCCGCAGCACCAGATGAGTTTGCATCCTTAATAACAAAAGCAGAGTGCTACTAAGACTGCAATCCTAACACCAATTACCTTGGAGTAAGCCCCACTGAACTAAATAGGATTTACTGGCAAGGAGACACAGTTATGGTCACGCTGTAAAGCCAATTGTTTTAACTTACAATTACAAGATGTGATATGGCATTAGAAGAACAGCCAGGGAGAATGCTACAGAAATGCTAAGAAGTGTGGAATTACTGTACAGTAGTTGTTTTAACTATCAAACAAACGACGGGCCAGAAATCTTCAACATCTCCCTATCCAAGTCAACATCTTGGGATGACCAACTTTTAAAATAGAAATTCCTGCCCAGAGCAGAAGATGGAAATTGCAGGTTTTCTGTGAAGGTTACAGAGAGGAGGCGTTTCTGCTGCTGCTGCGAATGTTGTTCATGTAGGCGAAGCAGGATAAAGAGGAGAAGTCAAGAAAGTGTGGGCTGCGAGGGTGGGCTTAGCATGCATTAACCAGCTCCTTCCCAGGCTGTCTGCAGGCTGCCTTGGTAGCAAAGGCAACTGGGAACAAACGTTCGCCTGGAGAGATGCTGTATGGAACCGAGCAATCAAAATTTCACAGTCAATCTCTGGGCACGCTGCGCAGAGGGGAACTAGCAAAGACCCAAATTGTCGCCTTTTAAGGCACACTCTGTGCCCTCACAAAACACCCCTCCTTGCCCCAATTAAGGCTGAATTGAAACAGCAACCCTTGCTGTATTTTTTTCAGCAGCGATACTCTGGCATTATGGGGTGTTTTCACACGAGACTCCCACCCTCATCTGTAAGACAAATGACTAGCGGGGGATAACTTGGAAAAAGAAGGGGAAGGAAGAGGAAGAGAGCTGTTTTACATTTCCCCCTATATTTGCACAGGTGTTGCTTAGTTTTCAATGCCCCCCCTCCATTTTAAGTTCTCTTTCTGTCTCTCTTCATGTGGCTAAGGAGCGCTCCCATTCAGCGAAAGTTAAATGGCAAGGAATGAAAAGCAAAAATAAATATAAAAAATGAACAGGGGAGCCAGCTTCTTGTGCACATCTTCAGATACAGTTAAAGTGGGTTGTATGCAACAGAAGGTTAATTCAAGAGTTGGTGTGGGGCTTCTTTTTAGGTTTTGAATGTCAGCAATTGCTTCCTGGCCCCCGCCACAAAAGAGAGAAAGGAAATCCCAGGCTTGAGAACTGGGTTGCAGTAGCACAGAACTCAAAAGCCAGCAATAGTGAGAAATCTATAGGTACAGAGGACTGCCTATATTAAGACAGAATGGGGTGGGGTGAGGGGCAACATCTCTCGCCATTCCCACTGCCACTGGGCACATGTTTAGATCTCTCACTTGCAGGAAAAGCAATAGAATACATTCTAAAACGATCTCTTCTGACATTCCAGAGGTGGGCAGAAGTTCAGACTGGGATCTGCTAGCGGACCTCTGGGTTATTTTATGTAGGTCAGCAAGGGATTTATGGCTTCCAGTCATTAACAAAATGGAAGCAACCCAAATGAGAGTGTGTTTGTGACCCGCCTCCCTACTCATTATAATGCTGAAATCATGAAACCTAAGGGACTGGGAGACACCAGGAGCGGATTTGGTGTGGAAGGAATGTGAGCTCAAGTTCTTGGGCTTGTTAATTCTTTCATTCTAAATGTACGGATCTCAGGGGTTTCTAGAAAAAACAAAGTACCGTACATCCTGAAAGCCTGCCCACCCACTAGACTTTCCACAAGATTTCTTCAGAAACGACTGAACGAAGATTTGTGCAACTCACTGTATTTTCCGCAAAACTGGATTCATTTTGAAAGGCTCTGCATTTTTCTGAAGCCTAGCATTCCGGTACGAAACATTAGTAGACGGCTATTTCTTTTTTAGCAAGCAAGGCTTAAATAAACAACTTTATCAGTGGCATCTTGATGCTAAACTCTGTTTGCTCTGATGTAAGTCCATTCTAATTTGATGCAGATTATATATATGGTACACTGCCTTCTTTGATGTACCGGGAAGAAATGTTAAAATCAACAGGGCTTCTTTCCAAATTCAGGATGAGGATGCTAACAATACAATCCCAATATTTTCCCAAACAACCAGCTATTTAGAACTTGGTTTGTTTTGCTAACTAAACAACAAGGATGGTGCTTGTTTTTTTCTTTCCCAAACTAGCATTTCTTTCAAAATATGCAATCAGTTCTGCTCCCCTACCAAAATGGCATTTAAGATCTACTGATGATTTATTAAGGATCTCTACCTTAAATTTATTATGTTCTGTTTTGACAATCCACCAGCTTTTCAGGACAGTATTATGTTTTGGTAGTAGAATATCTTCAGAACTCCCCCACCACACCACCTTGAAGGCAGCTTGAAGGCAGCTGAAAAAACAGACTCTCATCAAAGTTGGTAAATAAACCTAAGTCCTTTATTAAAACAAATTGTTGCTTTCAGTAAAATAATTTGGATCATCTACCTACGCTTTCAAAACCCTACATCGTTCTTTTGAGGGGGCGGCAGAAAGAAACAGGAATCCTCCCATTCAAAAATATTAAGCTGACTTTAGTTTACAACTTGGGTGTGTCTGTGCAAAAAAAAAACCAACCGAAAAACCACACATCATGTACAGTATTTCCACACACATGGGAGTATGCCTGCAGCCAAATGAAGGAAAGCTGTTAAAATATATTTCCTGGAGGGCAAATATCGTGAGGACAAGTGTCTAAGAGGGACAACCAGCAACCGCTAAAAAAAAAAGTCATAATAAATTTTCCCAGCACTTAAAAAAAGTTCACAGACGTAGAGAAAACATAGTAGGGAAAAATCCCACCCAATGTAGTGTTTGGATTTGCACTCCATCCCCCAAACTTTTAAGCGAAGACAATACATGGACGTTTCAGTACTTTCCTCCCACGCCCTCACCCTTTTCTGCACTGGATTTCTCTGGGAATCATCCACACTCCGCCTACATATACACGAATCCGCCCTCTCCTTCCGGCAATCTGCAGCAGCAGAATGAATTGTACCAAGCAGCAGCTAAGAAAACACCCTGCGGGACAGGGCAGAAACTTCTCCTATTTTCCCTTTATCCCATTCGTCCCATCAGCCTCAAGGCAGCATGGCCAAAGGTCAAGTAGTGTGATGTGATGCTGGGGAACTGGGATACCTCCAGATGTGGTTGGGGACTCCACCCCTGCCTCAGTTTCTCCCAGTTACACACACCCCACTTTACCACCATCGCAGCCTCAGAACGCCAGCGAGGCTGAACCAGAACTTGCAGCAGAAGCCTAGCGCAGCTAGCATTCTTCAGATACTCGCCTACCGCTCCAACACGCGGAGGCCTTACACTCGCATTCACACGTGCGTTTTTGACGCGCGAGATTGTCCGAAGCACGCAGGCAAGTTTCAGCCGCTGAAAAGCCAAGCGGGGGGGAAATGCCTCCCGAATTGCGAGCAAGAAAAACAAAATCCATTGCGGTGTCTCCAGAAAGGCTTGTGTGTGTGTGTGTGTGTGTGTGTGTGTGTGTGTGTGTGTGTTAGAAGGGGCGCGGGGAGAAAACTTAGGTCCTGCACTGCAGAGGGGGTTGGGCTGGATGACCCTCGGAGGGTCCCTTTCCAACTCTGCAAAGCTGCAGCCTTCAACCCGAAGAATGGATCCCATGCCGAAGATCTCGCTTTGCCGGGAAGCAAACGCGCGCCCCTCTTTTAAGATAACTCGACGGGGAGGGCGACCGCAACCTGTTCGCCAGGCGCGCCAACGTTTCCAAGCCCCGTCTCTCCATACGCTTCCTCGGGAGCCAGGCAAAACTCGGGATCCTGCGAGAGAAAGGATCCGAGCGATCGCGCCCGCACAGCCCCTTGCGCGTCTCCCCCCCCCCGGTCCTGCGCGCGATCCAGTGCCCACGAGGGTCTCCGACTTACTTCTTCCCCGCAGGACGCTGCTGCCGCTGCCTGCCCGGCTCTTCCCTTCTCCCGGCGGGCGCGAAGTTATGGCCAGGGTCGCCTGCGGCCGGCCTCCTTCTTCTTCTGCTGCTGCTGCCGCCTTCCCATGGGTGGGCGAGCTGCCTCCCGCCCCCTCGGCCCAGCTCTGCCCGGCAGCCCCGCGACAACCCAGCACTGGCGGCGGCAGGGCTGCAGGGAGGCACCGGCGGCGGCGGCGGCAGCAGCCTCGCCTTGCCTCCACCTCCTCCTCCTCCTCCACCGCCGCCTCCTCCTGGCCTTCCCGCCCGCGCGCACATCCAGGGCTCCCCTCCCGCGCCGCCGCCGTCACGTGGGGAGATTCCGCGCGCCCGCCCGCCGACGAGCCTGCGCCGGGCCCACCTCCCACGCGAGGCCGCGTGACGCAGAGCAGGGAGGGGGGGGGCGGAACGGCAAGCCGGCGGGGAGTGTGCCGGGCGGCGAAGGAGGGAGGAAGGAAGGAATAGGACGGAGGAGCGCCCGGCCCGGCGGCGGCGGCGAAAGGGAAGCAAGGAGCGCGGAAGCGGGAAGGAGGCGCCTCCTCGCTCGCGCCCGCTGCGCTGCTCGCGGGGCTAAGCGCGCCTGGGGCCACCGCTTTAGTCGTCGGGAGGGAAAGGGAGGCTCGTTGGGAGGTTAGAAAGCTCTCCTTTTCTTTCTTTCTTTCTTTCTTTCTTTCTTTCTTTCTTTCTTTCTTTCTTTCTTTTCCTCTTTCTCTCCCTCTTTCCCCCATCTTTCTCTCCCTCTCCCCCGCTTTCTCTTTCTCTTACTCTCCCTCTTTCTCCCGTTCTTTCTCTTTTTCCCTTTCTTTTCCTTTCTTTTTCTCTCTTCCTTTCCCTTTGTCTTTCTCTCCCTTTCCCTTTCTTTCTCGCTTCCTCTTTTTCTCTTTCTCTTTCTCCTGTTCTTTCTTTCTTTCCCTCTTTCTCCCTTCCTTTCTCTTTCTTTTCTCTTTCTCTCTCTCTCCCTTTCTCCTTCCTTCCTTCCTTCCTTCCTTCCTTTCTTTCTTTCTTTCTTTCTTTCTTTCTCTCTCTCTCTCTCTCTCTCTCTTTCTCGCTCTCTCCCTTTCTTTCTCTCTTTTTCCTCTCTTATCTTTATCTTTCTTTCTCTCTTTTCTTTTCTCTTCTCCCTTTCTCTTTCTTTTTTTTTTCTTTCTGCTTCTCTACTTCTCTTTCTCTCTCTAGCTTTCTTTTTCTTTCTCTTTCTTTCCGGGGCACATGAAGGGATCCCATCCGTCCCTGCCTGTGCTTTAAAGGCAAGCTTCTCGGGAGCCCGTTCTGTGAACCACCCTGAGATCTATGGATGAGAAGCTGTATAAAAATGTAATTACCTGCTATTACTGTTATTATCAGAGCTTTTCTTCTGCGTACCCTTGAGTACCCCCAGAAAAAAGCACTGATTATTATTATTATTATTATTATTCTGTGCTCCTCATTCCCACAGGTTTTCCAAATGGACTTCATTGAACTTGTTTATTATTATTATTATTATTATTATTATTATTATTATTATTATGCTGCATTCTGCGCTCCCACAGGTTTTCCAGATGGACTTTTTTGGGCTTTTTCCCAGCCAGAGCTGAGCTCCAGCACCTCTCAGGTGGGCATCATTGCCATTATAAGGGAAAAAGGGAGAAGTTCATGGTGAGCTGCAGCCCCTCTTTCAGTAGAAAAATAGCTCTTCTTGTTGTTGTTATTTGGCACTTTACAAAGTGAGTTGTCCATCACAGCTTCCCTGCTATTCTCCCATCCCCACCCCTACGTAAAAGGCTGCAAGCCTGCGCCTGCTTTTCAACCAGGAGCTCAGTGTGGTTTCTGCCATAGAACTGCATATATCCTGGAGCTCCTCTAGTCCAACCCGCTGCAATACAGGAATGGCAACGAAAGCACCCCTGGCCTTCCAACCTCAAAGGGTAGCTTCATTGACTCGGAACCCCAAAATCTGGGATCCCCTCCCAACCTGTGCCCAAGTTTTTTTCAGCCATCTTCCGCCTTTGCCGGGTCTCTGGAGCACTTCTTCGGAGCTCTGGAGGCATGTGGGGTGAGCAGCCGAGGGGTCTGCTGCTCTAGATGTAGCCCGATCCTCTGAATGCAAGGCTGAACTGTGCTCAGAGGGACTTGCACTGAAGCAAGTCAGTGACTCAAGCCCTTTGCTAACTGCACAGTAGCAAAACCATGCCCCCCACCTCCCAGATTTATTATTTGTTTGGGGACTGTGTTGTAGACTGAGCTTTACATCCTTATTCCACTTTGATTCTGATTTGATTTTAGGATGTATTTTAATTGATTGATTGATTTCATGGTAATATGTTATATATTTGATGTTAGCCGCTCCGAGCCCGGTTTTGGCCAGGGAGGCCGGGGTATAAATAAAATGTGTTATTGTTGTTGTTAAGATTTTGATTACTTAGGCACCTTGAGTTTATTTTGCAATTTAAGAAGATAAGATTTTAAATGAATAAAGGACTGTTCCTTCATTACGCTACCTGTTAGCTTCAACAGTTCTGTACATTTTAATTCTTTCCTTGTTTTCCTTGTGTCAGCTTGCCCTTGTCATGTACTTAGAGCCTCTTATTTCCTTCTCCTTTTCAATGTTGTCTCTTATAATATGCCATTGTATGAAATGCATCCTCCTCCCATTAAACTTTCTTGGGGGGGAAACCCCAGAAACTACATACATATTTGCCCTTTTCGAGTGGAGAGACACTCCAGCTCAATAGACTTCTAGTGGGGAAAGCTGTTAAGGAACTTATCTCTCATTCTGAACAAGCGACGTGGGCTCCGGTTTGTAGCATGCCTTGTGTGACAATGGTTTCCTGGAAACTTTCTTTTCAAAACACATAGCCTCCCCAAGCATTGAATGAACAAGAAGTATTACATTGTTCCTGTAAATGAATATTACTGCATTAAAAACATATTATTCCAGCTGATCTCATTGAGACTAGCAGTGGGAACCAGAAAAATGCTCTCCGCCCATCGCGGATCTCAATCCTAAAACATTTTAATCCGAAGTGATTTCAATGGGGCTTACTCTCGGATAAGTGTACTTATCTGTACTGGGGCTGTACCTGCCTTGAATGACTTCTACCTAAGCCCTCAGGAGGTTGAACTGAAATTGGCGGGTGTTCCGGGTATAAGTTGTTTATAGTAACATGAGGTTCTGAAGGCAATAACCTACTTTGTCAGAAGCTTGAAGTGGGCGGCGGAGGTGTTGGGCACCATCTGTATAAACCCCCCAAAGCCATATTTGGACCTTTTATTAGGACCAGCCTAAATGGAAACATAAAGTAGGTGCGGTGAACCTGAGGACCTCCATATGTTTCTGGACTACAACTCCCATCATTCCTGACCACTGGCTGCTGGGAGTTGTAGTCCAACGACACGCCCCTGCAGTTGCAAACTGCAAATCCTGTGCCCTTTGCACAAGCTTGTCTTCTGCAGTGGAGCAAACCCACCGTCCCACAAATCCACCATTTTTATTTTGCCTCAGTTCCTTCCCCCTCTTTTCAGCAAAGCTTCCACGGAATTAGTATGGATGCTAGCGGCAAATCTTGCCTCTGCCATGCAGGGGGTTAAACTAGACGACCGTTGGGATCCCTTCTACAATTCTATGATTCCATGACATCTGGAGAGCCGCAGGTTCCACATCTTTGAAATAAAGCAGTGCTCAGATCTGAGTAGAAGGCAGGCTCTATCCTTTCAAAAGGGGGGGGCAGGGGGCATTGCTCCTTTTCTCCCAAAATCCTAGGTGTGTAACCTGATATCTATGGCACCTGACAGATTCTAACAATTCCATCTTTGAATTGACTGTGAAAGCTGATCTCACAGCTGCAACATCCAGTATTCATATTTGCATTTGTTTCCTCCCCCCCCCCGCTCATCCCTCCCCCCCAACTTTGTGTAACATCTGAAGAACTTGACAGCTTGCCAGTATTTTGGTTGATCCTAACAAACACAGCGGGTGGCTAGGGCTTGCTGATCAGAAGGTCGGCAGTTCGAATCCCCACGACAGGGCGAGCTCCCGTTGCTCGGTCCCTGCTCCTGCCAACCTAGCAGTTCGAAAGCAAGTTAAGTGCAAGTAGATAAGTAGGTACTGCTTTGGCGGGAAGGTAAACGGCGCTTCCGTGCGCTGCTCTGGTTCACCAGAAGCGGCTTAGTCATGCTGGTCACATGACCCGGAAGCTGTACGCCGGCTCCCTTGGCCAGTAAAGCAAGATGAGCGCCGCAACCCCAGAGTCGGTCACGACTGATCAGGGGTCCCTTTACCTTTACTAACAAAGGTATTGCCCAAATATTGATTGTCCGTCCTGTTGTACACATTGAAAAGCACATGACTTCCCCCCCCAAAGAATTGTGGGAACTGATTTGTTAAGGGTGCTGGGAATTGCAGTTTTGTGACAGGGTAAACTATAGTTCCCGTGATTGTGGGGAAAGCCCATGGGCTTTAGATTTATGGTGTGTATTCAGCAGTTGGATGGCAGCAGTTGCCTAGGATCTCGGACAGAGAGAGACTTTTCCCCAGCATTCTTCTGCGAGTTTTCTTTCACTACAGAGGTGCTGGCAGACTGATCTATATTTGCTAGCTCTATATACAACAGGAATCATAGAAATGCAGAGCTGGAAGGGACCCTGAAAATCATCTAGTCCAACCCCCTGCAATGCCGGAATATGGGGATTGAACCTGCAGCCTTAATGTTTATCAGCGCCATGCTCTAACCAACTGACCTATCCAGGCCAACATACATGATTGGGTGTCTTCTTTAAAAAAAAGAGAGAGGTTATAGAGGTTTTGCTTTGCTTTTAATATATCAATATGCAGTACCAATGTACAAATAAAACATAGAATAACAATAATATTAGCATTTTAAATTAATAATAATAAGCAACAAATTAGCCTCTCTCCCCAACATCCCAAAGCACTCTCACTAGCTTCTCACATAAAATCTTGCTGAAATAAGAAAGACCTCGTGCTTCCTCTAAAAACAGGTTAAGTAGGCATGGCCTTTTGGTTTGAGAGAGATGGGAGTCACAGCTTGATAAACTAGAGAGATAACAGTGCACGTGATTTTTAATTATGTGTCCCTTTTCCTTTAGAAAATTCTTCCGCCGCCTCATTGTTCTTCCAGACACTTGGCATCTTTTCAGTCCATAAATCCAATGCAAAATAAGACGCTTGCCTAGACTTATTCTGCAATAAGCCAGAAGGAACCAAACTGCACATTCAGAAATATCACATGGTAACAGTCCTCCTTTTTTGGGACTGTGTCACTCCAGAGTTGAGGTGGGGAGATTCACGGTTGCATGGTCTCTCACACCAAGACCTCCTAGTCTATGGAAAGCTCACATGGAGAAAGGTGGTTTCTGGCTTTTAAAAAAAATGGAGTGGAAGTACAGATTTTCATGAAATGCATGACAGATGCTGCAATAATTTCTCTGCCTGAAAGGACAGAAGTAGTTTAAAAAAATTAGGAAACACCATCTGTCAAGGCAATTTACACGGTTTGGGCTAAATATAATTTCAAATTGGCTCTGGCGGTATCTGCATGTACATCTTGTTACTATAATGAACAAACTCATAATTAAGATGTTTTAAGGGATATTTCATACTGGGGAAAGGAGAATCTTAAGTGTTTTGGAGGAGTTTATCTCAGGATAAACTCTCTTAACATTTGAACAAGTGGTGCAGAAAATGAATCCCTATACAGTAGTCCTAAATTGCTGGTTTTTTCTTCTTGAAATTAGCCATGCCATTATTGGAGAAATGGCCCAATTAGAGAGTGCAAGTGGAAAATTTATTGCTTTCCCTAACCAATAAAACACCGGCAGACAAGACAGATGGAATACTCTCAAGTATTTGATCTGATGGCATTTTCAGAATAAATAGGGAAGAGATAAACCCGGAACACCACTACCAAACACTGATAGTTGCTATATGGCGTACATGGAGGGGAGAATTCATTGTGATGAACTTAAAACACACCTTTTAAACTTGTTACATCAGTGGTACGCAACTCCTTTGAATTAAAATTGACTTACGGTTTTTGTCTCACGATTATTGCTGGTGTTAACAGCCAACTACATAGAATTATATGAAAATATGTTGGAGATGCTAGGAAATCAGAAGTTTGGGCTGCTTTGCACCATTTGATATTTAACAAATTGCTGGGTATTAACTTCCAGTTGATCCTTTCAAGAAGGCAAAGGCAATATGGACAGAAATGGTGCAGAGATTATAATTAATCTTATTTCTGTGAAAATACAGCACCACAGTGGAACAGAACTATGCCCTCCCCAGCTGATTGTGTACTTTTTACACAACAGCAAGAGAGAATGATAAATATAACAAATTTGTCAAAGAAAATGCCTTTTATCATTTGTGGGTTTTGCTGATATGCCTACTGTAAAAAAAATATTGAAGGTATCAGTGTGATCTGGGGCCTGCTATCTGGGCCTCCTCTAGTGAGACTTCCCAATTTCCTGACCTGCTGCTCCCCATTTTGCATGTTTATATCATTTCTCTAAATTTGCAAATCCCCTTGGGTGTGTTGGCAGAAAGGCAATTTATGAATGCATTGGAGAAATAATAGTAAATACAGACTC